AGTGGGCGTGTGAGCCGCCATATGCAGGTGAGCAGGTGTGTGTGTGTGAGTGGGCATGTGTGTGTGAACTGCCATATGCATGTGAGTGGGTGTTTACATGAGCAGGTGTGTGCAAAAATGAGTGTGGGTGAGCGGGCATCTGCATGTGAGTGGGTGTGTGGGGGGTGGTTTCCTTTTTAGTTCAGGCAGATGCTGGCGGCAGCAGCTGAGGCCTGAGGGAGGCCCTGGCTGCCCGGGAGCAGGTCCTGACCACAGAGAGGCTTCGGTGGCCTGACGAGGCTCTGTGGGCGGAGGGCACACACTTGCGAGACTGACCAGGACTGTGGAGTGTTCAGTGGTAACAGCAAAGCCACTCCCTGCAGTCCAGCCATACATATACCCACACACATTTGGCAAATGTACCTGGCACACATGGCCCTCAAGTCCAGGCATACCTGTGCACACACCAAACGTGGAGTCACCTCCGCCTGGGCCCCAAGGAGGTGTCCCCGGAGCTGCTCATAGGGACCATGTCATTGTCTGGTCAGATTCACAGCTCAGAAATAAAGATGGCAACACACTGACAGTCTGCCTGGCCTGGAATTCCTTGGTCTGGTCAGGAATTGAAGAGCAAAACAAGTGTGTGTGCTGTATGTACACATATGTGTGTGCATATACATGTGTGCACTCATGTGGCATGTGTATACATTGTGCATGTACACATGTGGTCATGGGTGGTATGCATGTGTGTATATACACGTTTGCACTTGTGTGGTTTGTATGCATTTGTGTGCATGTACACGTGTGCACTTGTGTGTACACGTGTGTGCACATGTGGACTCGTGTGTGTGCTTGTGTGTATGGTGTGCACTCGTGTGTGGTGTGTGCATGTGTGTACATGTGTGTGCATGTGTATGTACGTGTGTGGTGTGTGCATGTGCATGCACACGTGAGTGTACATGGTGTGTACCTGCATGTGGTCTGTGCACACATGCATGTACATGGGTGGTGTATGCACTGGTGTGTATGTGTGGTGTTTTCACATGTATATGTACATGTGTAGTGTGTGCACTCATGTATATGTCTTATGTGCACTCTGGTGTGTGCACTCGTGTGTGTGTTGTGTGCACTCATGTGTACATGAGTAGTGTGTGCATGCATGTGTGTACATGTGTGGTGTGTGCATTTGTATGTGTACATTTTTGTTGTGCGTGTGGTGTGCACACATGTATGTGGTGTGTGCACTCGTGTGTATGTGTTGTGTGCACTCGTGTACGTGTTGTGTGCACTTGTGTGTATGTGGTGTGCGCATGCATGTGTACGTGTGTGCACGTTTGTATACATGTGTGGTATGTGCATTCGTGTGGGTGTACATTTGGGTTGTGTGCACTCGTGTGTACACGTGTTTGCATGTGTGTGGTGTATGCACTCATGTGTACATGTGTTGTGTGTGCACTTGTGCATGTACATTTGTGCTGTGTGCACTCGTGTGTACACGTGTTTGCATGTGTGCACGTGTGTGGTGTGTGCGTTATTTGTGCATGTGTGTACGTGTGTGCAAGCATGTGTGTGTTGTGTGCACATGTGTATGGTGTGCTCATGTGTGCGTGTGGCGTGTGCACTCGTGTGTGTGCACCTGTGTGGTGTGTGCTCTCGTTTGTGTGTGGTGTGTGCACTTTTGCATGTGTACGTGTGTGTGCATACAGTCATGCCACATAATGTTGCTTCAGTCTACAACAGCCTACATATGTCATGGAGGTTCGGTCATCTGACGACGGGGCTGCGAGTTTCCTCACTGCAAGGTGAAGCCGTTGTGCCCTCACATGTGGCGGCCGTGGTGTAAAGGAGCCACCAGCCTTGTGAGAGTCTGGCACAGCAGGGGTGCCCAGCACGTCATGCTTCACAAACATCTGTATTGCTGGCATCTGCGTTTCCCTCACACACTTTTTACCATGACTGTGATGCACTCCTTCTATAAAAGACGTTGCCTGGAGCAGCCTCGGCTGGTCCTTCAGGAGGTACTGAGAAGGCACTGTGGTCACAGGAGACGCGCTCCACGCGGTTACTGCACCTGAAGCCTTTCTGTGGGGTGCAGAGGTGGCAGAGAGGAATGTCGATGACTGTCCCTGTGTGGGCCTAGGCTCACACGTATGTTGTCTTTTTATCAAAAAATGTTTTAAAATTTTAAAATGTTAAATATAAAGAATAGGCAAAAAGCTTTAGAATACATAAAGAGGATATTTTGTACAGTTGTACAATGTGTTTTAAGCTAAGTATTATTTGACAAAAGAGTCAAAAAGTTGAAAAACATGAAAGTTTATAAAGAAGTTACAATAAGCTGGCCGGACGCGGTGGCTTACACCTGTCATCCCAGCACTGTGGGAGGCCGAGGCGGGTGGATCACAAGGTCAAGAGATCGAGACCATCCTGGTCAACATGGTGAAACCCTGTCTCTACTAAAAACACAAAAAAATTAGCTGGGCACGGTGGTGCACGTCTGTAGTCCCAGCTGCTCAGGAGGCTGAGGCAAGAGAATTGCCTGAACCCAGGAGGTGGAGGTTGTGGTGAGCCGAGATCGCGCCA